ACAAAAGTTCTGTCTGTAATTATTGGGAGCGTACGCTTGTACACCTTTAAATGAAACACTTTTTAACAGTTTAAAAGCACAATGTTTTTCGCGACGTTTTGTTCAATATATTAAAAATGAATTCAAGTTGCTATAAATTAAGAATACATATTTGTATGCTTGTGTTTAGGTTGGTCCAAAATAATTATTACTATGTATTTTTTCTATTTTCTGTGCTCGAGGAAGACAGACTATAAGATTCACGTTAGACAAGATAAAGTACCTCAGCCATATATAGTAGCTTATTCAAAAAATCTCACAGATTCAGACAGAGAAATTTTCACAGACTAGAACTAAAACGTGTTATCTGTGGACAGTTGTTAGTGACACGAAAGGAAATTCGATTAAGTAGGAATCGCCATCATAATTTTTATAATGAGATTTTTCAGACCACGTCTCACACGTTCAGAAGGTTTATCAAATTTCTTTTGACCCGGCTAACATATAAATTAGTTCTAGGGAGAATAATAAATGACTATAGCGACTATTAAGAAATATTAGTGGGTATAAAAAGGCAAGAACAACGTTAATAGTCGACGACCTACAACAATACAAACAGTCAACTTAGGTTGGGTTTTAAAAATATGTAGTAAGAGATTCTCCCTACTGAATATGCGTAAAAATTCATCTTTATCATGAACCTTTGAAAAGTGGAACTGGTCGGATAATCTTTAGATAAAGTGTATGTTAATGTATCTCGCATAAAAGAAGTTGTAAACTGAAATTGTGTCTATTTTAAACACTGAGTGACACTATTTCTGTCTGAACTTTATAGCAATACCGATTTGATAACAACTGCCAAGTTTCATTTTTCCAGAAATGCGAACAGTATACTAATATTCAGAAGTAACACTACCTACTACTATCTATGTCTGTAAAATTGGATATGCATAGAAGCACTCAGTATATCTATAAGACCATATATATTCATTTAGTTTATTTTATTAATTATAAACTTAGTTAAGCCTTTTTTAATAAAACACCTTAAACGTAATATATATTAAACTTATTCAGAAATGATGGTCTCCTCGTAACCGCGACTGCTGCAAAGCATCCGAACGTCGGGACGTAGTTAAAATGATTTCCAAATGAGTTTAACTAATGTATATCGCGTTTTAAGACGTTAATGTGTTTTATTTAAATGTGTCGCGTAAACTACAGACAGTATTAAGTTAGGCCTGAAGGCGTATTTATTAATTGTATAATAATCAGCTGGTTGGGGTTCAATCGTTAAGGACGAAGATGTTTCTAATCAATGTTTAATGTTTCTGAAACACGTAAGACATCGCCAGAAAGTCTGTATATTAAATGGATGGTAGGAATATCCAAATTGTGTACAGCTCGCGAACCACCGGCGCAAAGATGAAAGAGTCGTGAAGTTAAATCGCGTTGCCGTTTCCGTCTGTGAATTTCCGAAAATCCAAAAGCAAAATGGGCCGATAGCACATCTTGCGGAAGTGAACCCCAAGCCTATCAGTCGTCTTTTATCACAAAAAAAATCCACGCACGATTAGAAATACCCTTCCTATAAAACATAGGTCCTTCAAGTTTCTTGCATCAAGAGAAAGGTTTCGTAAGCTAGAGCGAACTAAATAAACAGACCGATTGTAACAGTATATTATTATTTTTGGCAAATTACTCAGACGTATCGCGATTTATTTTTAAATAGATAATAGAACATCATTAGTCCGTCTGTCCGTTAAGCTGAATGACATGAAAATATACAAATATACGAACCTACATCTTTACGGTAGTATTCTGGCATTTTTAAATCATTTTTTCAGTAGATATTAAATTATTTCAATTTGGTAACAGTCTGTTGTTTACGTGAGTAGTACACATTTAGATAAAACACTTCCGCGTTTTAAACCGTTTAAGTGTTTTATTTGATAATGAAGTGTGAACTTTTCAGTTTAAAAATTATCTGACCCACGACAGTTAACCGCAGCACTATAATTATTTGAAAAACAGAACGCAAGTTTAATATAAACTAAATTTGAATTACTTATTGACTAAGCTTCTACCTTCAACCATCTGTTATGTAATAAAGGACAAATTATATATAATTTGTATATATTATTAAGCAGAAAAGTTTGTTTGTTTAATAGCGCTAGACTAACAGAACTACTGGTTTAAAATTGTAACATTATTTTTGTGTAAGATATATATGGAGAAAGACTTAAGGCTGTAAAAAATTTGTCGCCAAGAAAAAATGGAAAAGGTAATTTTTCTGAATTTTCCACTTTTTTTTAAATCCGTTCGAGTCCGTTGCTCGCGCTGCGAAAACGGTTTAAGAAAATAAAAAATAACTCGCAAGATCCGTTTTATGGTAATCAAATTTCGTCTGAAATTAATACATTATTACGAAATATTTATTAGGATTGTATCAACATTATACCTTGCACAAATCAGATCAACGTTTGCCGGAAACGCTTGTTAATAGCGCCTGCTAGAGGCAGGGTGGCCTAATGACAAAAACAAATGAAGAAATGAATTTGTACTATTTGTGTAAGGATTATGTTAACAATTTTCGGTCACCGTGCTCTTATAGATTAACATTTTTATAAAAATATAAATAAGTCAAGTCATAAAATTGCAGTTAGGCTACTCTACTTCTAGCGGCCTTATATTATAATGAGAATTTCAAAATTTGAAAACGGCTACTTCTAAAAGTAAAATATGATTCAATTACAATAAATATACATTAATACACATTATTTAATATTTCACTCTGTTAATGAACTTGGTAACCTTCCAGACGCTGGACTCAATTATTATAAATATTATTAATTATAATTAATTTCTAATTTATTAACTTGGCATAGTCGATGTTTTGATCATAAAAGATTATGGACGACGAAGAAATCTATTCCGTTAATTTTCACGGATTTGTTTGTCCAATGATAACAGTGTATGGCTAAACGAATCACGGGTTCGATTCTCACGTGATTCTTTAAAAAAATGTTTTAACTGTAGTTCAAACAAATACACATTTAAATAAGCTTAAAGAGTGGAAAAACCGCGAAATGTTTCGCAAAAGGTCCCGGGGAATTATAATTTATTTGTAGTCCCCCACGTGACCATTCTTTTAGTGTTGGCTAGAGCATTTATAAAACACGCGCTGCAACCAATAGGAGCGAGAAAATGTGGAAAAAACGAGGAAAATTAATCATCTTTGTGGCATCGCTCTGCAAAAGCCTTTTAAGGTACCCAAAAAATATGTAGAAAAGAATGATTTCTCCTTAAATGAACTTAAAAAAAGTCCAAGAACTATATATTATCAGATTAACTTCCAAGAACGACGAGACTCGACGTCGTGGGTAACGGTTTAAATTTAAAAAAATGGAGACGAGTTATACAAAAACGAATTTGGTTGCCTAAAATAACTATTCCACGCGGACGGAGTCGCTGGCACAGCTAGTTTGTAATATATTCTCTAATTTTGATGGTATTTAAGTATGTTTCACACCACTAAACGTAAATACATTCGTGTAGGTAAAAAGTGTTTTTCTTCGGCGCTCGCACATTAATTGGAGTTTTATTTTTGAATCGCTAATTTTAGACGGTGGTTAAACGCAGGTGCGAGATTCGCTGTATTCAAACTACACTGAAGTTTTTACATGTAAATAAAATCTCGTATACAAGGCAGACATATTACTGAGGCCGTTTTCAATAGAAGACAAGCATGCCATTTACTTGAAATACCCCAGGCTGAACTGACAAGATGCACTGTCTATTTTAGCTTTTGACATTTGCTAATCCACTGACTGAAACTGACACGCGAGTTCCACGGCCTTTTCATCTCTCGATGGCGGTTCGTGGCACGGACGGCAATTTCGATAGTTCTACTGCCCCCTTATTCAGATTTCTAGAAGAAGTCCAACGGGTTGATTGAATTGATTATAACCATTTTGGATCTGGTGGGGATCGACTCCACGCAACCATTAGTCGCAATGTAGGGTACATTGCGACTAACGGTTATAGGTCCGATTTCCACTTGGTTCTTAAACTAGCTGCCTGGAACCAGAAATTCAAAAGTGTGCTTGAAATATCGTAGTTTAGAGTCTTAGTTCGAAAGTGTAATCGCGTTTTGATCACACTATTCAGATTTCTGATTAGTGTAGCCGTAATGGCAAAATAGGACGGTAGCACATCTTGTTTGCATATTATATTGCTGGAGCTAGATTTTTTATATTAAAGTTTCCATACGTAAAATTAATTAAGACGACGACAGCTTTTCAGAGTTCAATGCGATTGTTTTATTAAATTAACCTTTCTGAGTGCGTTGCGACGTGAAGCAGCTGTTGTTTTGCTCATAAAGCATACATCATCAGCTACACAGCTTAATCCATTCGTTTTATAATCTTATACGAAACACAGTTTTCTTCCAGATTTTTATTTATAATGTAACGGTATAAACATGTTGATTTATCGTCGCAATTGAATAAAATATTTGATATCCTTGTTGGCTGTAAACGGGCGCGAAACACGTAATATAATAGATATTAAATTATCAAAATCTATGTTAGAGAAATTAGATAATATTAAAGATTTGAAAAAAATTACAACACGGGCGGGACTTGAATCGACAGCCAGAGCGTTCCAAGCCAAGATGTGGCTCTAACCAATTGTCAGTAAACCATGTCGGTTGGTTTTGGATTGGATTTTATTTTATAAAACCGACACAGGAAAAACAAACTTTTCAAATGCTGATTAAAGAAAATGTATTCAATAACACTTTATTACAATAAATACAAAAGTAAATATTTGCTATTTTTATTCGGGAAGACAAAAGATTAAAATAGGATTCAAAGGTGTGTGTACTTTCACAATAATCGATTGATCTTTTAAACGCACAATTTGTCCAAAACTCGGTCCCGATCCATTAGAAAATCAAAATAAGGCCCTGCAAATAAAAGAAGATATAAGTAGATCGATTTTATTAACAGTAGCTATATAAATTAACCCACCAAAACAGCCAGTGGCACGATGATCCCCACCACGACAGCAGCGAAAGACGCAATTTTAAATCTATGCTTCCTTGCAGTCACATTCATGTAGGCTTCGAAACGCTGCAGGCCCCTCACATCATAATTCATCCTCTGGTACTGCTTCAGCTGACGTATAAACCCTGGATTCGGGTTGATGAAGCTCCTCCTCTGCTTCACAAAATTAAAAGCCTGCTCGAAGGTCAGGCCGTACTTCTGCATGATATAGGCGATCACTATGGTGGCGGACCGCGATACCCCAAAATGGCAGTGCACAATGACGTTCCCTTTCTGTATGCCCTCCTCAATAAAAGCGTTGGCCATCGGAAAGTAGGGCATGAGATTGGTTTGAGGAGTATCATTGGCTCTAATGTAGAGTGTGCATATGTCCGTATCGATAAAAGTTGACTTGGGCAAGCGTCTTGCCTCAACGGTGAGAACATGCGTGATGTCAAGATGCCGAAGGACATTTCTGTCGGCTGCGGCTCGGGCATTGCTGAGGTAGAGACCAGGGATGATCTGGCTGTAGCAGGACTGGGTGCAGAGGTCGATCTTATTGTACAACGCACGGCGCGACCAGTTTCTTAGGCTACCGAATGCGACTATTGGATTTGGTATGGTGAGGAAATTGACGATGAACTCATTTCCAAACATCACAGTCTGGAGACCTCGAACGCTCGCTTGGTATCATTGGGGCTTCACATTATTTTTGTTCTATAAATTATGTACACTACTTGAATTTTGACTTCACGTCAACGCAACGGTTGACGAAGGAGTCAATTTCTGTTAGATTTGTTTTCTTCTTAATTTGTCTTTTATACATGTCTTGTAAAAGTTCTTACTGTCATTTATTAATCTGTGCTTTAGCATATAATTCTTTTTATTAAATACTGAGATTTTAATTTCTTTGTTTTTCTTTACATATCCTAACAGCTTCAATGACAAAGATTCATTGATGGCACGAACGACATAACGGCCATTTTATTATCATATTGATTTGCCACTGTTACTTTTCTAAAGCAGAGAAGATTCAATAGTCTGATTTACCACGGTTGGCAAGCTATATAAAGTATAAAGTATTACACCCAGACTTACAAACCATAAATTAAAATTGCATCCGACCGTTTCAAACACTGGTTTAGTGTTTGAAACGGTCGGATGCAATTTTATTTTACTTATTTTACGTTATTTTATTTATTATTTATTGACACTTTATTGTACAAAAGACAAAATAAAACAAACGAGATTTATAATCTAAAAATATGGAGTGCAGTAGTGCATATCCCTAACAAACGATCTCTTTCAATCCCAAGGTGAAAGAAAAAAATTTCAGACAAAAGAAAATTTTTAGGGGGGGGAAAAAAATTTTAAACCTAAAAAAAAAAAAAAAAAAAAAAAAAAAAAAAAAAAATTTCCCCCATTTTAAAAGGGTGGGGGTTTTTGCCGGGAGAAAAAAAAAAAAAAAAAAAAAAAATTTTGGAAAAAAATATATTACTTCATTTCGCGTTTCAAACCGTTACAGTGATTTATTTATATACCCACGAGTACAAACCTTATCTAAGGGAAACTAAAGCTAAAATAATAAGACATACGTAAGAAAAACAATTGATAGTAACCAATTTACTCAAATGAGTAAATAATAATCGTTATTTGTAATATGAATCAGAAAGACAAAAACGGTTTTAGATACAATTACACAATATTGTAAGTACACTCTCTGGTCCAGTGGTTGTTTTGATTTAATTGCACTATTCTTGTAGCGTATCTGTATCGTAACCTATGGCTATGGTGACCATATGAGAGAAATTTAAATAGGCTTCCCCCGCCCCGCCCTTTCGTTTCCCTGCCGCCGGCCCGGGCCGGGGGGGGGGGCCCCCCCCCCCCCGGCCCCCCCTTTTTTTTTTTTTTCCCCCTTTTTCCTCCCTTTTCCTACAAACCCTTTTTTTAAACGTTAAGTGTTTTTTTAAAGTAATTTTTTATTAAACAGGTCGGTATAAATTCACGTCACCACGTAGTATGCACATTGAATTTAAGATTATGTATTACTCCTAATAACGCACTGAACTTGCGGAAATTTTAATATTAAATTTATACAATCTTACACGAGGGCTTTAATCTTATACTCCTATTGGGTAGTCACATAAACATTACAATCAAAAACTGTGCACAATCAACACGCACGAGCGGCACTTAAAAGCGACTATCGGCGCGGGTAAGCTGCGTTCGGCCTTCTTAACGGTAATTACTTACTACTTACCAAAAACTACCCTCCAATTTATTACTTTTGTTTCAAACAATATCGAGGGTACAATTTTTTCCCAAGCATTCTATATTTATATAGTCAATTGAAAACTGTATATAATGGATAAGAAGTTTCAGGATTATAGCTATGGTTTAGATGTCCGCTGTCACACTCTAAGGGCTTACTGAAAATCAGTTTCAGATCAACAAAGGACTTGATATTACTTGAGTAAGATCCTATTCCACCAATTAGCAGCATACAACTTTTCTTTATACTGTTAAGATTAAATTATGTTTTATTTTTATATTTAGTAATAAGTATGGTATATTTTTGTCTGCTCTATGGTAGTAAATAAATTTCTTTCCTTCTTTCGAGTGAGAGAGATGGTTAAGTATTAGTACAATTCTGAGTTCACAAAATCTATGGTTGATTTTGCATAACAAATATTTTTCCAAATCCCTGGGTTTTGACCCAAATCTAATTTAGGCCGACCGCTTAAGCGCGGCGACATTGACAGAGCTCGGTCGTGGTATTGAGACACCTTCAGTACGGATGTCACACTGGAAACAGGCTAGAAGTCTGACATGTTTTTGTCTTCAATTTTCACGAGTTTTTACACGTTGAACTACGCTAATTACTTTAAATCTTTTTAAATGTGAATTAGTAACGACGTCCGTAGCTGTTTGTTTTTTAATTTTACTAAAATAATTCAATTTAAATTTTAAATGTAAAATATATTGTCTTTGATACTTCCGAATATCCAAAGATCTAATTCAAAAGCGCATCGTATTTAGGGGTTTAATAACTGAGGTATTTTACCTCCCATCATGTGAATCCCATGGTTGTCTCTAAATGTTATTAATACAGGAGTATACCTATCTACTTGTTATATAGTTTATAGGTATTGAAATAAAATTTCAGAAATGTATATTATTTTTAAAAATAAATTTGTCTAATACAAGTGGCGAAGGCTTGTAGTCGTATTCTTAATATTGTCATTAAAATTAAATGAAACGTTAGGTAGAGATTATAACATAAATAACAATATTCTTGGATGGTTTGGAAAAACTCGATTAAAGGTTTTCTTAACGGATATGTTGGCGTAATTTATGATTAATAAGCAACGGGTCGAGGGTTCGGTCCCATCGGGTATTTTTCTAATCAATTTATAATTTTGGAACGTGTTGGAAGATTGGAATTCAGGTTATGTAAGAACATAAATTCTGCATCATCGCGGACCCGCTGAGGATCAAAACACTGTACATCTTTGCCATCCGAAAACCAAATAATCCGAAAATTTTAAGATATAGTATGTGTTCTGGTCTTGGTGTTTGTGCAATAGGTAGAATATTGAAAGAAAATAATGATCAGACAAAAAATCGGTGTTTGCGCGCATTCCGCGCTGTTACGTCAGACGTCAAACTAAAATAGACGTGTATTTCTGAATGTGTTGCCAGCAGACTAGCAATAAAATGAATAATAAAAAACGGTCAAGTGCGTTCTAGATAAGTGTATGGTTCCGTAATTAGAAGTTAATTATACCGATATATATTTCTACTTCGTAGGTGAGACATATGTTTCTCTGCTTCAATGGTTTTTAATGATAGAGGACAGACAAGCATGATGTTAGGTAGCCAGCCTATAGCATCTAAACAAGATACGCTGTCGACCTATTTCAGCTTGGGATATTCAGAAATCTCCAGACTGAAACCGTTACGTGATTGAGCTTCACGGCCTTTTCATCTGTGGACGCTGGTGCGTGATCTGGACAAAATTTTCATACTCCTACCGCCCATTCAATATCCAGATTGAAAAGTTAGAACCATGTTGGGCCCGGTGGCGATCGAACCCACGACCCGATTATTACACACATTGCTATCATCAGACAAAGGAGCTCGTCAAATAATGGCATGTCTGTGCCATTCAAGTTACATATAGAACCAATTTTATATTTCTGTGTCACAAGTAAAAGCTTATAATAAAAGAAATAATATATTGAAATAGGAAATTTATTCATTTAATAATATTATCGTTTAATGTTAAAATGTTCTTTACAAACAGTAAAAACAATAATTTAATACAAAATACAGTTTAATTCTAATACATTTTGTGCGTAACCCCAGCACTTAGAACAAATTTTAACCTAATAATCTCATAAAAAAATATAACCTAGGAGATTCAACTTTTAGATTGACATAGCTTAACTTAACCTAGCTTAAATCTAGCTATATTTAATAAAAGTTTACAAAAATTTGTACATGATAATCTCAAAAAGGCACTTGGTTTACAATTTTAAAAGGCACTAGTTGTTACGTAGTCAAAAACTATATCCTAGTGTAGTGTAAAGACAATATAGAATACAATTCTTGGTTTGAACTCGCGAGTAGTACACATTTAAACACTTTTAACGGTTTTAAACACGAAATATAGACGTTTAACTTTGTCGCAATGACCTCGTGACCAATGTTTGCGAAGCAAAGCGACTGCTACGCTGGGTTAAAGTTGAAAAATGCGCGTTTTAAACCGTCAAAAGCGTTTTATTTGAACTGAATAATTTGTAGTTTTTATATTCAAGTTTATAAACATTTCATGGATAAAATCGAACATTCCTAATAATTAATATACTATATAAAACTATTTTACATGTTTGTAATATTAATCCTAATACACATTTTTACAAGTCAAATTTTGATACGACTTTTCAACGGTTAAATGTGAAAAATACGTTTGCAGACTTTATAAGGCACTTATTTACAATTTTACATATTATAATAAAATGTACTTGGAAGACGTCAAACATTTTACAGTATTTACAACCTGTGCGTGTCTTTTACATTATGTACTTACATTTATGTTAAGATTAAATTAATCAGTCTATATACTTAATTACAACCGTGAATGCACCATATGAAATATTAATTTTATTCCTATTAAAAATTAAATGCACTGCATTGAAAGGATACAATGACAAAATAATTAAAATACATTATACAGACGTTTGGTTACAAGATTATTTTACAAAGCTGGTATTTAATTAAAAATTGATAGTAAAATGACAAAAAATGTCCACTCTCGCGCAATCTGGTATTTAACTTATAAATTTAAATAAGCGGTAAAACTTACTTTGATTTAATATTCAGTTTAAAATCAAATGAAATATGGTTTCTTAAATTCTGTATATATACTCAATTTCCCTGTAGATATAGTGCTAAGTAAATACGACTGCTGATCATAAGGTCCCGAGGTCGTATCTTAGATCGGACACCTATGGGAAAAACCCATACCTGAAGTTTGAGAGGTGTCTCATTATCAGCAAGTCAGAAAGACATCGCCAATCGTCAAAATAAATGGTGATAGTTGTTGAAACTTAAGGAGCCACAGTGGACTAGCATGGTGGGCTATACCTGTTTAACATTCTCCTATATGAGAGAAAACGTGTACCCTGCCGAAGGACCTTAAAGTTGAAACGAATTAAAGTAGAATGGATATTATAACACTTGTTACTGTATCATCTGTAAATATTGATTCTCTTCGTAAAACGAAGACAGCGATGTTTGGAGGTCGTTGACAACCATATTGTCGCCACCTTGCAGAGGATGGGTGCTGCTAGAAACCATTTCTGAACTCTTCCAATTTTCACAGTTCTCCACGTACTCCAGGGTTCTCTGGTAGGTCTCCTGGCGCATGCTGTTCTGTTTCTTCCTATTGTTCGAAGCGTCTATCTGCGACTGCGATATGTCCCATACTTGGACGTCGCTTGGCTGATTATGACTCCTCAAGCTGTTCATACTACAGTCTGTGTCCCCATTTTTCACTTGGTTAAGTGGTCGTACTCCGTTCACGGGCTTCTGGCTACCAGTCGACATATTGACAGAATTTGGTACAGACTTCTGCATTTTGTTCAATTGGTTGTACTCCCATTGGTTCATTTGCCTCTGGTTGTAGTACTGGTTGTATTGGTTCTTCGGTGGAGGTGGTCCCATTACATTGGGCACGACGGAGTTGTAGGGGGGCGGTTGGGGATACTGTACGTTTTGGGTGTACTGCATGTTTTGTGGACACTGGTTTTCATAATAACCGTTCATCGCGCCACGACTCATGGTTCCGCTGTTGTCCACGCTCATGACTGAAGACCTGGACATTTGCATGGGATGCATTTGATTGCATTGATTCATGTAGTTCTGGGAATAATTTGGCATATACGCCACTTGGGATTGTGGCTGCATCTGCAACTGATTTTGATTAATCTGCTGCATCATTGAATATTGGGCCATGTTCTGCTGAGCTGGTTGGTTCTGCATAGGGTTTTGGTTGAAGTTTTGATTCGGATACTGTTTCGGAGCGTTGAAGTTTTTGTTAGGCACTTTACAATTCTGTCTGTTTATGTATTGGTTAGCCATTTGCGGTGTGGCCATCTGTGGAGAGGCCATTTGCGCAGTTGGCATTTGAGACATCATGTTTGCGTTCATCATCATAATATTTTGAGTGTGGTTTTGCGGAGACGGTACATTCATCGTCATGTTGGTCATGTTCTGGATCATGGGACTCGTTATGGGACTCTGTAATCCCGGATGCATGGGACTAGGCATGCCGTGGCTCATTGGACTCGCAATGTTTTGGGGCATGGGGCTAGCCATATTCATCATTGGGCTATTTAAATTCTGGGACATAGGACTTCCAATATTATTGTGTCGCGGGCTCATCATCATTTGATTTGGCATTGGGCTCATTAAGCTCTGCATGGATTGTGGACTCATTGCGTTGTGTTGCGGAGACATAACACTCATGGCGCTTTGAGGACTCATAACGTTATAAACACTGGGTGGACTCATGAGGTTAGGCATATGATTTGGACTCATGACACTTTGAGGGCTCATTGCACTGTGCGGCAGACTCTGGGGACTGAGCAGTCCGTGGGGCATGTTCATAGTCTGTACGTTGCTTTTGATAGTTGTCTGCTTTTGAGACGCAGGATTAATCCTTGTTCTATTCGACTGTTCCGTTTGGTTAGCCGTCATAGTTTGCAAGGATTGCAAGGGATTGGTCGGCGCTTGGCTTGCTGGTGGCCTGCTGAAATCCTTTTCACAGTTCTCGTTTACAACTTCTGGGATAACTTGCTCTTGAAGAGGCGGGTTTTTGTCGTCCGGAGACTTCGCTAAGAGCGAGCCACTGTTTCCTGACATACTAACATCTAAAGACCTTAAATCGACTTGAATATCACTTATATTGAGATCACTACCTATGGCACCAAGATTTTTTAGTAGGGAATCGTCACTTGTCGCGACATCGCTAATTTTGTCACTGGAATTGTTCGTGTTTGGGACATCACTGGCTACTTTGTCTTTGGTTATATTTTCGTCTTTATCATTTCCGGGTTCTTGATTGGTGGAGTCGGTTTTAGCTGGTGTTACCGTGTCAGTGCCCAATATGGATTGGTTAAGATATTGCATCATTTCATCTGGTATCACCAGCTTATTTTCCACCATTTCTCCTTCAGCAACCTGCAATGAAGGTGTAAAATTTAATAATAGAACATATGAATGTAAAATTAAAACTGTTAACGGATTTAATTACGATTGATTAAATTAACCGCGACCTGACGGATATTTTTCGAAAGATCGAATCACACGTTTTGATTCGGTGAAATTCTTCTAAGAGTTTCATTATTTTTTAATACTTTAATATAAAGTTCTGTTTTTACCTGTTCCAGGTTAACTTCTTGATTAGGATGGTGAACTTGGGCCGTGGTGATGACCACTGTTGTGGTGGAATTGGACCGTGATTCTTTGTATGTGCTCGTGTCGTGGTCATCCTCCGTTTTAAATGGGAAATTTGCGTCACCTTGTAACTGTAAACGAGTTTTACACTTAAGTACTAAATTTGATTTGATTATTTTTATCAGAAGCTATAAAAAAAATTAAATTAAATAATAATTATTCGAGGATTTTATCTATTTTGATTTTAATATTCTTCTTACCACGTCATCGGTGTTGCATGGATATGGCTGGTATTGCTGGTCACTCAGGTTAGACTGTTCCGAAAGCCTTCTCGCCTCTTCCTTCACTTGGATATTGGGATCCAGCTCTAAAGCTAGCTCTTCAGCTCTTACTTCTGTGCATGTCACTCCTCTGAGGAGTACGGCCTGAAATACAAAAACTATAGTGTGAAATTAAATACTTTAACGGTTTAAAAAGGCAAATATATTAGTTAAATATTTTAACTACAGCCCGACGTTTGGGACGTTGTGCAGCAGTCGTGGTCACGATTAACGACTAAAGATGTAGTAAAACTCCTATACTAGCGCCATCTGTTTTGTCGTAGATATTTGGCGAGTTGGCAGTGTATTTTTTTATTTTTCTTTTAAACCTTTTTTGTTCCTGTATACATACCTGATTTCCTTGGGAAGTTCTGACGGCTTGTACAGCGGCGAGTGCTGATGATGGAGGCGGGGCGTATCCCACACATGAGACTTGACTAGATCTGAAAGAACATTGTGATTAAATTTTATAACATGTTTATTAGGATCACACGAGAAGTTTCTCCAAATTTCCTACTTTTTAACATTCAGTTTCTGTTAGTGTCAGATACTAGTAACTAAAACAATAGAGTGACGTTTAAATAAAATACTTTAACGGTTTAAAGCGTGATAAACTTAATTGGAAATTACTTTAACTACGACCCGACGTTTCGGATGCTTCGCAGCATTCTTGGTCACGGGGCCATGATAAGTTTAACTAATACATATTGTGTTTTAAACCATTGAAGCGATGTATTTAAATGTGTACTCGCGTAAGCTACAGACAGTATTTAATGGTATAACTTTTTCTGATTTCTGTATTTTTTGCTGCCACTCCTCTTCATTTACCTTCGACTACTGTCAGGTGACAATTGATCATATACAGCGGGTTGCGACACTAACCGCTGTGTCACGACGTGTGACGTCACCGCACCGGACACCACTGAGGCTTGGCTGCTCTTGCGCGATATGTCGGACGATCTGAGAATAGGGACCCTAATTAAATCGTATCGAAAGCACCATATAATAACTAGCTGCGCTCGTGACTTCGTCTGTATAGAATACTTATTTTGGCATTTTAAAATTATAGCTGTTACCAGTGATATCGCCCATGCCCCGTTCTTCTTGCAAGTTAATCTTAAAAAACATAACCGTCGCGGACATTTTTTCTGAGCATTTAAAGAGTTATCAATCTTTCATATATATTCTCCCCGTTTTTTCCACATTTCCTCGCTCGTGTTGGTCACAGCGTGATGTTTTATAACCTAAAGCTTTCCTCGGTGATTTCCTTACCAACACTCATTTCAGTAGCTCCTAATAAGCGTGTTCTAACAAACAAACAAACAAACTTTTCCGCTTTATAATATTAGTATAGATACACATTCTGTTTATTGTACAGGAATTTCACATCCACACATACATCGTATACATACATACACAGGCAAAATGAACTAAATCAAACGCCTGCGCTTGACCAAAACAATTTGTATTCGTTTTTTTTTAAATCTCAAAATCAAAACTTTACCTGGCACTATAAAGACTGCTTCCAGATGATATTCCAGAATCGCGTCTGGCGTTCGGAGGACCAGTCTTCAACTCAACAGCCACATTGGTACCGCCAAGTTCCGTTCGTCCAGTAACTGGACCACCTGTTATTTCCTTTTTATTTTAATTCGAAAGATTTGCTATAAAATAATCTTAAAAATTGACTACAGACAAAATTTAACGTTGTTTTATATACACTATATATAGTGTGTATATATGTGCTATTTAAAACATTTTAACGGTTTGAAACGCGATATATTTTAGTTCATATATTATAACAAGTTTACTGTTTGAAAATAATTTTTAACTACGGCCCGACGTTTCGGATGCTTTGTAGCAGCCATGGTCACGGCTCCCCGCAAGCGTTCCCATGACAATGGCTATTTTATTTAAACAAAATTTATCGATAAAAAAAGGCTAAGCACGAATCGGACTGTCAAATGATACACAATTTTCATATTTTAACTTTTTTTCGCATTTAACGTGCCTATCTGTTACCATTTATAGTAAAAATGAAACTTAAACTCTCTCTCAATGCGGAATCTTAACAAAAATAATTTTCACCATCAGTAATAGTGTGTTTGTCAAAGGTAAGAAAGAACCGAAATGACGCAGGACTTGAATCGGCATTCACAGCGGTCTGTGCTGCTCCACCCAATGCTACTATGTGTACGTGTCGCACACGTCATTGTCGAATTTCTTCAACTCATTGGTACCTCTCGACACTGAGGTTTAAAATCCTATGCGATGTATATTTTTAGATTTTGACCTTAATTTTTAAAGCTTTAAAAACATCGCTAGTAATATTACCTCCAATATCAGGTGCATGCAACGGCATAAGTCTTCCCATGCCCATTTTGTTGCCCAGCCGTGGCGTGTGATGGTGGGCCCGAGGTTCTCCTATCGCCACCATCGCGCGAAGCATGAGTGGTAGCTGACCAACTTCACCCACCACTTCTTGTTCTACCTAAAGAAACAATAAAAATAAATAATTGGTAGACGAAAGTAGTACATATATGAATTAAAGGCTTTTAACTGTTTAAAACACGCAATACATATAATTAAAATACTAACCAAGAACTATTGTGTTGTTTATGTGAGTGGTACAGATATTAATTAAACACTTAACTGTTTAAAACGCAAAATATTAATACCTTTTTTAGAGATGCTTTACTCGTAGTTAAAAATATCAATGAACATGCTTCACGTATTGGACAGTTTAAATAGTTTTATTTCAATAAAATCCTCTAGAAAAGATTGTACAAGGCGACTTATTAAACTTTGTTCAGAAATATATAACAACACTATTTTGTATTTAAAAGTGACTTGTAAAATAAATGTCTGATTATAATATAGCTTGGTCTTTAAAAATTATGTTAAAAAAGATCTTCATAACAAACTTCAGTCATAACTACAGTAGACCTAGACTAGCAAATAATTTTTTAAGCCTTTATTTTAAATATTTCTTTGGTAACTTACATCGCCTTCAATTCTGAAGTAAGGAACACCATTTTCGTCACTAAAACCATCAAGTCCAGATCCTCCGAAATTCAAGTCTCCACCGCATTGTGTAGACAGCTGTAAAGTTAAAGTGTGTTACATACAGGCATAATAAACATAAGTAATAGTGTAATATTCGGTTAATGATATCCCTAGGAATATAAAATCTCAACAAGATTCGGTGACGATCAATTTTGACCAGTAAAAACCAAAATACCTGATGTGCAGTATGCATCCCATGAGGCAACGGCGAAGCAGGACTTTCGCTCTTGACGGAAGCAGAAGAGGTGTGCCCGCGCACGCCAAGCGGGACTCCGCCCTCTTCTGACCGTGGCGACGAACCTGCACCACCGCCACCAGATTCAGCCGAGTCATCACCGCGATTACAACCTGAATAAAGAAGAAAGCTATTTAAGATTTTGTTTTTGGGTACTATAATTATAGTGCATAGACTTCTTGGTCTGTCTGGTTCACTACTTGTCTGAAAGTAATGCATCGATCGGTGAAATAGACAACTGCGTCTGCTTCATGTTCTAAATGGGGGACACGAAATTTTCCATATATAAATCTCTCTTGCATATCATAGTAAACTAGCTCTGTCAGCGACTTCGTCCGCGAGAATCATTATTTTGAGATACTCACCCTTGTGTTTCTTACTCGCGTAGAATTCAGCGCCGTGAACTGTTTTCACGTGTTTTCTTAGAGACGAAGGGTCCGTGTACCGTTTTGTGCAACCTGGAGCTTTACAGACATATGGTTTCTGAAAAGAAAAGCGTTGTATGTTCATTTAGACTTTTCTAAGTGTAGCTCATTCATTATTTTAAAGTTTTAAAATTAGGTAAAACGTTAAAAGTGTTTTGCAGCTGTCGTGATACGGGGGGATTAAAAAGAAGTAAATTAATATATTTGTCGTTTTAAACCGTTAGAAAGCTTTTGTTTAAATCTCATTCAAAAATAACCTTTTAAACAAACAGGTTAAAATGCGAACTATGATAACTACATGGCCCGATATTTTGATGCTTTGAAGCAGCTGTGGTCACGAGGGCAACAATGATAGCGGGAGTCTTAAATACTATCTGTAGTAAACAGACAAACACACACACAGACGAATAGCACACTTTTATATAAAACAGTTTAGCGTCTACAGTTTAAAGTTATTATAACTATTTTCAAAATTATTTAAACTAAGGCCAGACGTTCGGACACTTTGCTGCAACTGTGAGACGTGCAAACGTGTTTTTTTCACCAAGAGTTTAACTAATATATTTCGCGTTTTAAACCATTAAAGTGTTTCATTTAAATTTGTCTTTTGGACACCTTTTCTTACCTCATTGCTATGTGTCCTGTTCTGATGCTTAGCTCGGTCGCTGGCATTGGAGAACGCCTTCGCACACCCAGGGTACTCGCAGGTGTAAGGCTTTTCACCAGTATGACTCCGAAGGTGGGTCTTCAGGTTCTCCAGGCGGGAGTACGCTTTGCAACAGCCTTCAAACTGAAAATATATTGAGAGCATAAAATTTTTGGTAAACCACAACTTCTTGGAGATAATCTCAATAAATTTATGGACACATATTTGTGACGGCTTTGCTAAGCGCTTAATGCTAGGCAACGTAACCATCAAGTAACGATAAGAATCCTTTCTTCAATGTATAAAGGTGAACACTTATCTGTGTCCGTTTGACTAAAGGATTTCATTTATACGCAAGCTACTCAGACTTCTGTGCAAGTGCCTGTGTCGTAAAACATTTTCAGTCAATTTATGTAAAATTTTAACGCTTATTATAACTGATATTTAGTTTTAAAGCAAGCTTTTCTAGTTGGAACTCACCGTGCACTTATGCGGTTTTTCCCCAGTATGCCGTCGCATATGCACTACCAGCATATATTGAGCTTTGAACGGTTTCTCATCCCTGGAGCAGCCGACCCAACGACAGACAAATGCTTTCTTACTCGCGTGGATGTGGTCTGTGTTGATATGCTTAACTAGGTCGTCTTGTGTTGGAAACTCTAGTTTGCAGTCAACCTAGAATTATATTTAGTTTTTTTTTTCATAACAGAGTAAGAGTCAATATTTATAAAAGAGAAAGCAGGCGAGGAAGCAGCCATATAGCAAGAACGTGATTTTTCATTCTGTGACAATTCTTCAAAGCTAAAACCACTTTACCAATTAAAAAACAAAATTTCAGGCGACGTCTCAGAAATTTGAACAAAACAATAAATTAATTTAAATTCTTCAAAAAGAAAGATGACAAGATTGAATCATTGTTTTTATATAATTTCATAGCCAATCATATTATCTTCTAGTTTAAGTAAATTTTTTTAATTATACAAAGTAAAAACAAACAAAGAAACATTTCAAGCAAACATACCCAATGACAGTTCGTCTCTATAAAATCTCCAGGCTCGTCTTTGGAATCCAATCCATCATGAACTGTGCTCTCTGCAGCCGCTGATAGAGGTTTGCAATGCATTCCGTCTCTATTCATCAGACTCTGAGGGGACTTCCGCTGGTTTAAGGCTGTTGATGCGCTGTCAAAAAATAGAAGTGAATCAATATAAATATTAAAATAAAAAACTTACAACGAGAATGAAAAAAAGTACAATTTTAATCTTTCTATAAAAAGGCATCAGACTGATTTTGCTCAGCTTGTTAAACGCTGAATTTCAGTCTGCCCCTTATCATATAATAAGTAGTATTGTATAATTTAAATGTGTTAGAATCGTTTTAGTTTGGCAACGCCAGATAGTTTTACGCGAGTAGTACACATTTAAATAAAACACTTTAACGGTTTAAAGCGATATATTAGTTGCAGCAGCCGAAACGTCGGGCCGATAAATCATTTTCAAATAAGTTTTACTAATATATCGCGTTTTAAACCTTTAAAAAAAAGTTAAAGTTAGTGTTTTATTTTAAAAAAGCTAAAGTTTATTTGTTTGAAGGCGGAACTCCCAGTTCGAAGTGAAAAAATATTTTTGCGTAGACCATTTACCAAGAAAGATATGTAAGATGACGAAGAAGAAGTCTGTAGAGAGAGTGAAACATGTGGAGTAAAAGAATAACAATAATTGATCTTTGATGTCATTTAGTTACAAACCAAGGCAATGAAGTATACCATGAAATGCTTCAAGAAAAAGAATAAATATACAAACTTATACTCCTACAAGTAAAGCAAAAGTTATTGGGTACACACCTATCAGCCTCCATCACACTGGTGATTTCCGGTTGTTGTGGTGGCTGCTGCATATGCTGAGGGGGCGTTCCGTCTAATCCTAAACCTGGGCGGACATCTACAGGAGCGCCGATGAGGAGCTGGGTTGGCGATGAGATGTGAGATCTAGAAGAAAGGATACGTTTGAAATTTTTGTTAACATTAAAAAGTAAAATAAAGCACTTTTTAACGGTATAAGACCGTATTTTAAACAGTCGAATGCAACGGCTGTTTTTACAATACCCAATGAATAATCTTCGCTAATACTAAACATACAACTAAATTAAGAATTATATAAAATACAAATTTCGTTTCATGTATAAGATTCATGACCTGTGAATTCCTGCTACCAGATGAGCATGTGCTGCATGGTGTGCAGCAGCCGCTGCTGCCTGTTGATGAGCGGGATCAAGCAGAACCCCAGCAGGGAGGACACCGCTACTCCCCACCACTCCACCTCGAGCCAAGAGCTGCTGGGCGAGCGACGCGTGGGACAAAGATAAGGCGGGGGATATTGCACCTAAAAAATATAATAATTCATTTACAAATATTGAAATCTTTGTCGATAATTAATTAGAAAAACGTTTATAAAGGTTTTTCCTATTATAATACATTCAGAACATAAGATGTCACAATTAATCAACTTTTTTTTTTATTTAAAAGGTATATAAAACGAAGCTGTAATTTTAGAGACATGTTTTAAATAGCATAAAAATCTTAAAAATTAAGCTTATAAATATGCAGATATAGACGCTTAGAATGCTTTGAATAAATAATATATGAAATATATGAGGTTCAAAACGCGAACTATTTGACTATATCAAATAGTTCGCGTTTTGAACCGTCAAAAAGTACAAAAAAAATTTAAAGTGTGCTACTACTTTCTAACTAATTTCTAGCACCAACAGGTCTACGTACCAGCACTAAGATGCCCATAGCTGCCAGTAGAAGCAGCAGAAGGCGCTCTAACAGCCAAGCTGGCTGGTGATGCTCTTATCACAGCTGCCAGGTCCAAGGATTCCGCAGAGTAAGGGCTCCATGACACTGCGCGCTTTCTATTGGCGGAAGCACTGATTGCACCTCCCGACAGTCTTAAGCGATTCGGCGATGCTATTCTTGAACCTGCAAAGGGAATTCAATGATAAATATATTTTAAAGACAAACAGTGAAACAGATATAGTCGAGATCAAGACCGCCTGTACTTCTGTAGTTGTCTGTAAAGTCTGCTATGTCCTCTAATAATTAACACGAAAGCCATTTTGGTCCAGTAGGTTGCGTAGTCTTTAAAATTATCTACGTCTATAGATCATTCTTAGAACCTGATAATTTTTTTAAATGTTTATTATTTACCTTCTAGACTAAGTTGAAAATCCTGACTTGCTAACGTGCTACCGGCGTGAAGCTCAGGATGGAGACTCCTCGCTGCACTCAAATATTCAAGACCTGGAATGAGAGAGGTAACACATTGAGTGACTTAAATTCTTTGAAAAACGCCCGCTAAACAGAAGTGTAACGGTATGTTAAAATTAGTGCAGTGTCTATTAATTGATTGTATGGAATATAATTATAAAATGTTTCAAATTTTTGTTAAATGAGATTTTAGGCTCGAAGAGGCCTTCTTCCAGGGAGTGTATATTACCTCCAGTTACGGTATAAGAAATTGTACGTTATTGTATATTGTAAAGAGAATTATAGTTACTGAAAATAACATTAATCAGGAATGATTATTCTAGATCTATTATCATAGAATTATACAGGTGTTTTGTTCTATTGCTAAATATTTGAAAGGAAGATAGCACAAATGGAAGTGTGCCTAGTGCCTTAGCAATTGACATTACCGGCGAATATAGATTTGCACTTTTACACGATCGTGTTAATGCCATTCTTTGTGTGTGAAACGTCAAAAAGTCTACTTTTTCATTATAATGGGATTCGTAAATATTCAATTACGCGTATATTAGAGCCAATAAAGAAAGCGCTTGTTCAAACACCTGATGACGTCACTTCCGATTGAGAAACGAGAACCATTTCTCAGAGTCTGAATTAAAACATTAATGTAAGTAACTAGGTATACTTATGAATGTACCACCAGTGAAAACTTTAAATTTACATTTACTTCCAGTTCTCAAATCAAGGGGGTAGAACTAACGAGAAGAACTGGCAAGAAACTCGCCGTCTCTCTTTTTATGGCCAACTTTAATTTTACGTACTTTTGTACATATTTGTCCTTGTTAGAGCGGGTTCCTCCGAACCCCAAGCGTCTTCGTCGTTTAAATATTAATTAACCTAAGTAGCTAAAAAACGAGTTTCCAACTCCTTAAAAAAATTATCTAGTGTATAGCGATAACAATATGAACATCATACATACTTCTACAATTACATTTCTACAATCTAAGTATCGCGGTCCATAGTGAATGACGGGAAGTAGAATATCCATAAGTAACATTTACCCATATAAATAAAGCATAGGAACGGTTTAAAACGCGATAAATATTAGTTAAACGTATTTTAACTACCGACGTTTCGTTAAAATTAAATAAACCGCTACAGTGTTTTATTTAAATGTGTACTACTTGCGTGAACTACAGACAGTGTTTAACCTTCAACCCCTCCAACACCTGGAAGTGCTAAGCATCAGCCAGCCGAAAGATTTATGTCCCAGCAACGAAATTAAGACATTTTAAATTACCATAGAAATATAAATCGCTTAGAGGTCACAGCTCATTAGAGCCGAGCCGTGGCCAATCCGGACACATATTAATGTCAACCCGATGAATATTAAGCGCTGTTTTAACTTACTGATTAATAACTTAATTCTGCTTATTGCTGTTAAGCAGTCTGACTTGCTGAATAGAATGGATTTATGATAGATGAGGTCAAGCATGGTTCACTTAATAGAAAGTGACATTTAATTAAAACAATTTAACGGTTTATAATGCGATATATATTAGTTAAACTTATTTGAAAATTATTTTAACTACGGCCCGACGTGTGGGATGCCTAGATTTAGTATCAAATCGATCGAAAAGTGATTTATAGTTTCTAAGTTCTTTGATAAAATAATAACAGAGAAATAGTCGTTTAGTTGTTTTTTTCGGGTTCGTTGGTATAATGGTAGCAACGTATGGCTGGTTACCAATGGGTTCGATTCCCACCGGGTCAAACATGTTTGTTAAGTAAAGTTAGACTCCGTTTAAACGAAGATACTTAATTGGTCGCACAAACCACAAATTTAAGATCCCGTAATGTAAATATGAGGTTTAATTTCAGAATGTGCTGAAACAAAATGGGACGTCAGCGCATTGTAATTGTTTTAGGGTTGGGCATTATACCTTCCATCTTCAAGACTCCCAACACTTTAAGATTTATCTCAAATATTATACGAGAATTTATCAATATTTCCCGGGCCATATAGTTGTATATGGTCTTCATAAAATGTCGATTTTATAGCTTCATTTAAAATCACTTTGTACCTTGTAAATCTTGACAGATTCCTTCCATAAATTTTTAACATAAAAATGTTCGGTGCCAATTATTTATTTTATATATTTAATCAAACAACTGAGTTGAGAATACATCTATTAAAACATTACACATGATAGCACAAATTAGATTAAACAAAGCATTTTACATATTTACCAAATATAATAAGCATTGGACATCAATGTAAGTACGTAAAAGTTAATTTTAAAGATTCCATTTCGCGAGCGGTGCAGGTCTGATGGAAAAGTTGGATGAAGAGGGTTAGAGCAGCGGTACTGCAGCCGATTCTCGTATTAATATAAGTTAAGCAGCACGCAGTTGCAGTAGTTTTTTGTTTTGGTATTCTCGTCTAACGTCAAACACGTTCGCGTCAAGTTCGCGTAGCTACGCGTATTCCGTATTCTGTTGCCGAGCTCACTGCAACCGATTTGGATCGAAACGAAATCGGTATTCTGTTAACTCATTACACTCACACACCGACAGAACACTGAGACATTCCAAACCGCATTTCATTGAAGCGAAGCTGAAGGACACAAACTTCAATATTTGTTCACTTCTTTAAATAAAAGGACAATATTTTCGTATTATTTATACATTTCGTTAAAGTGAGTTTGCACTTCCTAAGTCCTATAAATAAACCAACAGAATGAGAGAGAAAAATAAAACAATGATTCAAATCTACACGACAGACGTTAACACACTAAAAAGTAAAAATTAAGATTAAACTTGAAAAAAATATAACCAATAATAAAACTAGAACTGAAAATACTTTGAAGAAAATATTGTTTGACTTTGGCTTTGAAGGAGTTAAGACTTTGTGAGAGTCAATCACGGGTGCTATTCCATAGGCGACAGCCTGTACAGAAAAAGAAGAGTCATAGCATTTAGATGAATGAGTAGGCATAGAAAGGAGACGGTTGTAGGAGGAACAAACGTCAAGTTCATGGGAAGAACCCATAAATATAAACCTTTTAGATAGGTAGAGTGCCGGATAAAATAGATTAAAGAAAAGAAGACAGAGGATGTGAGTGTTTCGTCGGAGTCTAAAGACCCTTTAGGTAGGGCGGAATTCTGACACGTGTCGTATATCCGTAGACCAAAAAATCTAATTGAGAAATTTTGAAGCCCCTCAACTTTTTATTTGTTCCTCAGTTAGCCTATAGCACTCCTTTTCCACTGGGTCATGAAAACTAGTGGGATAAATATACCTTTTAGTAAATCCAATCCTAATATCGCAAGTTACTAAGGCTTTAAATAATCACACCATTTTTCTTTTTTTCTGTACTTCACTGAAAATATTTCTTATAGGAATTAGTTAACTAAAATTAACCATAAAATAAAAATTCTGTGGCTCTGAACAAATTATACATTTGCTTTTGGGCTATTATTAAAGACCTTGATAAACGGCAGTTATAAAGGTCTTTAAAAATCGCGCCATCTTCACGAAATTTATTCTTGTCAATTGTCTAAGATTGACACAAGTCCGAATTATAATATTCAAAATAATCTTAAATTATAATGCAAAAAAGTTACAAAAACAAGAGATGTTTATAATGTTTTTAAGACTTGATTTTAAAAAATAACATTAAAATACACAATTTCTATAAAAATATTTGAGCAATTAGGTTTTTCCTATGTGGTCACACCCCCATTGTTTCCCTGACGTACGAGAGACGCACAGTTACGCGCAGTACGAAGTTTTAAAATTAGGAGAATACCGTTCGACGCTTAATCGAAACTGATCGCGCGTCACCACTTGACGAAACGCATTGAATTAGTAAATCGGCCTGCTGATCACTGTGGATATTATATGTCATAAAGTTATTTCAATCAATAGATTTTTTATTCATTACAGCTTTTTGCAGCACAACAAAAAACCGGATACACAAACTACAGACACAAAAGCTATCTATTACTTTAACATGATCATTTAACAATTAATCACCTGTTAGGTACAGGATATTCAACTATAATTATTATGTTCGAACATGGCAGAACAAATAAATATGGTATGTTAAATGGATTTAAACGAGATTAGCTTTTAACTGGGTACATACTCGTAGAAAGTAGAGAAATGTAATTTATCAATGAAATTATAGCGTTGTTTGGTGTTAATATTAAATAGTGCTATAGGAATGATTAATTTGCCTTCAGGTTGGCACACCCGATTAAGCTTTATCGTGTACCAATTTCGCAAAACAAACACAACCTCGCAAAAAAGGTTGCGACGACCCGATCTGTTGATCGAGGCGTTTCCGACGAAAATAATCGCTCGTAGGCGTCAAGGACCACCAATTTGGCGAACACTCGTAACGTCGCGATTCCGAAAACAGTCCAAAATATCGTGTGGTCCCCTTTTGACGCGCCGCGACCGAAATTTTTACGTCTTCATCGTCTGTGAGAATCGATATATCGATAAAAACATCGACGCGGATTCCACTCTAGCCACTGCGACATTCGTGTGAACAAAAAACTCGTTCGAATTCTAATTCTTTTTTCAAATAGTCGAATATCGGGCGAGTGATTAACTCGATCGAGTCGCTTTTTGTCGGTCGATTATTCGAGTATAGATTGAGGCGGGTTTGGTCTGATGTATTAATAATTTTTATTGTCTTCGATCAGGCGTAAAATTGCCCGACGCCGGACATCTAGTATGTGGTTTTAGTGTTTGAGTGTGTGCGTGACAATCTAGAATATAAATCATGTTTAGTTTGGGCGGTTTCATAAAAGAAACCTTTGTTTTTTTTTACAAATTGTAATTCGTTGATATGGTTAGGTTTTAAAGTTATGTAAATAAATGTGGCCACGCTTCTAACGAGTGCCTAATTTTTAATAAAACTATTTTAATGGTTTATAACGCGAAATATATAAGTTAACTTATTTTAAGTAACGCATTCGAAACGTCGGATAATACTTCGCGTTGTAACCATTAAAAGAGCTTTTTTGAATGTGTTCTAGGT